GGCAGCTCTCCAGCCACACCTCCCCCAGCCACTCTTGCTCCGTCCTCTTCCCTACATAGCCTTGGTGTTTTTTTTCCTTTTCCTCTCCTTGCACGTCAACAGCTGGAGATACCCTAGGATAGCATGTACAGCTCCTTGCAAATTATGTTTTAAATGCCTTGGCCCTTGGCTAAAGGTAATGCCAGCTCTTCCTGGGAAAGGCAGGGGCACATTAAGAATTAGCGTGTTAGGATGGAGGCTAAACTGCAGCGTGCTTTGAGTGTGGAAGTCTTTGGTAGCCTTGCGTTCTTACCCACTGATAGACTTGTTGCACTCTTGGAGAATGTACAAAGGAGAATCCTAGTGCAGATGTGCCCCAACCGTTAGAACTTCAGAAGACCAACAAATTGTTCAACAGCTTTCTGAAATTTCATAAGTTTGTATATTCTACTGTATGTTTCAGATTTTGGAGTCGGTTACTTGAGTAACTGCACAAGAATTTGTGTTTTGCAGAGATATACCATAAAGGACTTTGTGCTTTTTATTTTTTTTATTTTTAATATGAAGATGCTGTTGTGTCATTCAGAAGACTATGTGTTTAATTATTATTATCTGTACAACATGACTTGTGGGGCATTCTATTCACAAAATGTCACTCTGCCACTGTCTTGGTGTAACAATTTAGCATTTATTACCAGAAATCTGCTTGCCATGTTTTCAGCTATAGACTAAAGACACGTTATTACAATTCATTTCTTGTCCTCTGTTCTGGAGCACCTGTGGAATTTGCTCCCCTAATATATTATTGATACTAATTGTTCTGGGAAGTTGGTGATAACTACTCATATAACAAGATCTGTGTGTGCATTCAGGAATGAGACTAAAATTACAAGGTATAAAATTAGTACAGTTATCATCATGATACATCATCCGTGAAGGAGAAATCTCGTCATGATATGATGTTGCAAAAGCCAGCAGCATCTCCTGAGGAAAGTCTCATGATGGCTTAAGCTATCAGTCAGCTGCCACGGGAATTATCACTACAGACTTACTGGTTCACATGTTTTAGATGAAGTCATAATATAGTGCACTGACTAAAAGAAAACAGACAACCTTGTGGTAAGTGGTTTGCAGCTAGTAGAGGAAAAAATAAGGCTCCAGTTTAGGTACTTGGCAGTCAATCAATCTGATTTCTTAGCCCCAGATCAAAAATTTGGGGTGTGATTGGGTAAATGATTTAATCTCTATGTCTTCTTAGTTTAGATAGTATGCAGAAGAGTCTCCTTGAAAGGTTGCAATGAAAATTTTATGAAGTTTGAGATTATCTGGTGAAAGAACCAACGTGGGAGTACTTCCATTAACTCATCTGGTAGCTTACTTTTTTCCTGTTTGTTTGATTTTTTTTTTTTTTGGTTTGAATATTGCCCCTTAGGCTTAAAGATGATGGCACCGGAACTCCTTATGACAAAGAATCAACAGCAATCATAAAACTGAACAATACAACTGTCCTTTATTTAAAAGAGGTGACAAAATTCCTTGCTCTTGTCTGTTTTGTCAGAGAAGAAAGCTTTGAGAGAAAAGGTATATTTCCATTTTCTAGTATTGCATTACTTTTCCCTTATATTAGCAAGTTAATGAATAACTGTGGTTGTCATTAGCTGATAACAGTCTCCTACTGTATCATGAATAGTCAAGGTAAGTATAGCTTGATAGAGCTCACATAGCATGTTTGAAGGCATACGGTATTTGTCCTGGCATTAAGACAAGATGAAATCACAAATGTATTTGATAACTTCCTGATAAGAAAGCATGTGAAAGTTTACGTCCAGTACAGTAAAGCTTCCATCTGCAGAACGTGTCAGTTTATCTTGGCTAACATTGATTTGTACCTGTTGGCACCAGCGTATGCATTTGCAACAGCCTGCATGCCATAACTGAGGGAAAATTATTGAATCTGGCTGATAGGAAGAAATATGTTCTTGCTTTTCTCATCTCTGAAAGGAGGCTTGAAAAGTCTGCGTATTTGGGAACTAAATGGCTTTCATACATTGCAGTTAAAGTGCATAAAATTGCGTGGTTATCTCTGATGCTGATCAAGGTCAACACTGAAAGCTTGGTTCATGATCGCTTCACTCACTGGCATGATGTTTGCTGAGTTACCGGTCTGAATTAAATGCCCTGAGACCAGAACTCAGCAGTGGAAGGATGAGCCATCACCTGGGCTTGTGTCGCCATCCTGTGATACTACAGAATCACAGAATTGCTGAGGCTGGAGAAGACCTCTGAGATCATCGAGTCCAGCCTAAGACCCAACACCGTCACATCAGCCAGACCACGGCACTAAGTGCCACATCCAGCCTCTCCTTAAACACCTCCAGGGACGGTGACTCCACCACTTCCCTGGGCAGTGCATCCCAATATTAATTCCCCAGTCAGTGTTTGTGAATGCAGTACTCGTACCATGTCTGCTGGGCTGTTTGATGGGATACTTAGCTTTTATTTTATAGAACTTCAACTGGTTAAATTTCTCTTCAATACCTTTACCAGCTTTACTGTCTATGATTGTTAGATGTGGTTGCTTTCTTTTTTTGCTGGAAGCATAAAAAGTGTTGCTTTGACAAACCAACTAAGAATACTGTTTCAGAAAAGACTACCTTGAATAAACACCCAGTTGGCGTTGACTGCAACTGTGTCAAGTTGTTGTGTCGACATAGTTTGGGTCACTTAGTGCTGTAACCTATATTCTTTAACAGTACAGTTCTGGTATTATAATGCAGATTAGCTTTTGGTGCCTGGTGACTTCCACATAATATTTTGTCTAAACTCTAGGGAGAGGGAAAGTCCTGGAAAAAAAAAATCAAAGTGTAACATGCTGGATTTAAACCACTTAAAATATGTATCATCTCCTGTTAAGGCAATAGAAGTGGAAAACACTGCAGTACTTGAGTTAAGAAAGCTTATGGCATTAACCTGGAATGAGATCATAAGCTCAGTACAAAAATTCTAAAACTGTATAGCAGTATTACACAATTGTGGCACCCAGTAAGTCTTCCGATTGACTCCCAATATGTCTTCACAGCTTTTCTGTGGGATCACATTTAGCCCACTCACATGGTAATATTATCTGTCTGTTATGTATGTATGTAATCTAACAGCATGTCTATTGTGTTATTTTTCAGTTACAATGTAAGGAGAAATATAGCTGCCTGTTATGTGGCATTAGTTCTGTCAAGTATCCATGTCAGAGCTTATGCATTTTGAGCAAAAAGGAAATTCTTTTTAGTACTAGATGCTGCTTGTTTTAATCAGTTATTGTATAAAGCACATTTGCAAAACTACACAATATTTTATGAAAGATTTTAATTTTTCTTGTAGTATACTGAGTACTTATCCAAAGCTTTTTAAGTTAAGGCTTTGTTATCTGCCAATGAACTTCTGTTTGTTTTCTCTTAAGACTAATAGGTATATTTAACATTGGATGTAGATGAAACTATAATGCTTATTTAATTATTTGTATTTACCAAACATGCTTTTGCTTAGTCCAGAAAAAAAATGCCTGGAAGATTCACTGATTATGACCTTTGAGAGAGAGAGAGAAAGTGTGGTATTTCACTAAAGGTAGCATTTTTTTCATTGCCTAACTTGTATAAATGTTGTTATTAATATGGAAAATGTTTCTATCTCTGTAGGATTAATAGACTACAATTTCCATTGTTTTCGAAAAGCCATACAAGAAGTATTTGAAGTACGAATGAAAGTAGTAAGATCTCGAAAACATCAAAGCCACATGCAAAAAAATAAAAGACCCACTCCCAATGGGACACCAAGAATGCCACTGTAACTGAGGTTTCCTGGCGCTGTGGCAAGCAAGTTTTTGTGAAGTTGATGTGACTTCTGCATCTCATTGCACTGAGGAAGAGGAAAACAAATGGGACTGGTGTATTATATGAATTTCCCCTGAACATTCAGAAAGCACTGTTTAAATATTTTTATCCAATCAGTTGTTTTTTCATATAGTGAGCACTTTGAGCAAAATGTTGTATATATAAGCATTGAGTTGAACACTTGTAAGAATTTTCTTAATATATGCTGTAAACCTTTTCCATGCCATATTAAGAAGAAACAGCTGTGACAGAAATACTGGGTACATAATTTGCACTTTTTCATGTTTTCCTTGTGGAGTTGGACTTTGATAAACTTAGTTTTTATGGTGATTTTGATGCATGGTGTCAGGTAAAATGTATGCTGTAGTTTATTTACCTGCTACAATCAAATTGGTTAGTAAACAATTAAGAAAACTTGGTACAATGCCTTTTAAAATTTGTGACAGCTAATACCTAACATTCATACAGATCTAATTTCGTATATTTTTCAATTTGTAAACTGAAGAATAATTTTGAAGTATTGCAGCAATAAGCACCTTACCAGCGATCATATCTGGTAGGTAAATATTAGCTTTTATAAAACAGGCTTTTGGCCAAATTTCATCCGGAATTCTCCATAACACTGGTCATGCCCTCTGTTGGGTCTGGTTTTATTATTTACCTCAGCATATACCACTAAAATACCTTTCTATAAAGATAATTGTTTTGTAAAATGGCTCTATGTTGCACTGGTATTTTTATAAGGCTTCAGAGGAGCGTGTTGTATCTGAAAGGTTGAATTTTCATTGCTAAGTTTGTTTTGAGAGCCTGCTCATCTACAGCTGACGCAGTGAAGAATCTGTGTGTATTTTCACCCTGATATTCTGATGTACTGATAGGAAGTCCTAAAGATGTGAGCACTGCATTCTGATTCCCTCTAGTAGGGGTTATGTCTGTGACTGAAATCAAGAAGACACCTTTAAAAAGAGGACTGGACAATCTACCTGCTGTAATAATCAGCATCCTTCACTACTTTTTATTTTAATATTGGAACATGAGCAGATTTACCACAGGATCAGCCTGGGCAGCAAAACACTCTTAAACCTAAATAGAAGTAAAACCTACTTTCTGAGTTCTGTATTCACTGTTTTTGTTTAATTAATGATACAAAATTACAGTTTCTTCGGAAGAGCAACTCTTCTTTTTACCCAGTCCTGCCGCGAACCAATTGCACGTGCGGTCCGGCGGTGTTTTCAGCAACTCTTGAGAGTGGGAAGAGTTTGACCTGAATGGGAGGCAGCTCGCTGTGCACCAGGAACAGGTAAGGGGAGCTACATCTCACTCACTCATAATTAACGTGCCCCTAGCCGAGTTCGCTCTGGAGATGGAAGTGCACATGGAATTTGAAAGTTTTCTCTTGTCCAAAGTAAGGCCGCGTGTCTGTCAGTGAGCTGAGTGCCAAGTATTTGCTGGCTTCTGTTGAACAAGGAGGAGTAACCTGTGGTAAGCAAGTCTCAATTCAGTTACGGTTTGAATGCAAATGCTGAGTTTTTGCACATTGACACATTTTGTCGCTCTAGTACCGTACTGAATACATCAGCTGGGAGAGTCGGTTGGCCTGAAGGCAAAGGCTCTCTGCACTGGTGTCTGCCAGAAGGGAGACCAGTAGTTTCCAAGCCCTTTACTGCTGCCCAATGCAAGACTCACCTTTTTGGAAAAAATTGCCTCTTTTGACATCAGTCTATTGAATATATGTGGAGTTCTTAGAAAGAGATGACGGAGCTTAGCTCCATTGAGCTGCACTTGATAAATAATGCAGTTCGGGGTCCTCAGGAAGGCGAGAAATACTGAGAGTAGCCAAAAGTACTGGTCCTGGTGCTAATGGGAAGGATAATGACAGTAGCTGTAATCAAAGCAGAACACTTCAAAAATACATAGAGTTTAAATTCCTTTTGGTATACTGTCACCACCTGTCAGGTGAGTGCAGCTCTTCTGACCGACCCCTCAGTTAAAGTAACACAAACCTGTCTTCAGAGTTCACCACAGCAGGACTTCCACTGAGAGCTGCCATAATTTCTGGCCACTCATTTGCCTTTCATTTTGTTGAAACCCACCTTTGGATCTGTCCTGCTCCCTTCGCTCTCTCACACATCGGTGACTGTGTGAACAGAGGACACCTGCCAGGCTGGACCAGACACTGCTGTTGTTTTCGTTTTTAATAAAGTATCTCATCACACTGGCTATTCACACTGGTATGAATCATAACTAAAGAATGTAGTTTCCGTATGTTTGGCCTGAGTTTTGTGTAGTCCTACATACCCTTATATTTAAAGACTATCGGCTTAATTTAGTCCTTACAGTCCCCTCCAGAAACTAGCGTAGATGATGTTGCATAACTTAGTGAAGGTGACTTTAGCTATTGTATAAAACTCCTGATTGGTTATTAACAGAGCAAGCACAATTTTTATTAGATTACTTATGTTTCAAACAGGTTTAATTATAAAATTGAAAGAATGTTAAAAATGTGTTAATTTTACTATTTGACTTTGGGATTTTCAGTTTAGGTGACGACTTGCATGTTTCACTTCTGAGTAATGAGTACCTCAGATTTTCATGTTCTAGCTGAAATGATTGAGCACTGAGTGAGGCATGCAAGGTTGGTGAGTTTTATTTAAAGAACATATTGTTTCAAATTTCTTTTAAATTTTACTGAGATTCTAGTTTTTATTTTAAATGCATGAAGTAGACCATGCACTACATAAGGGACAATCCTGATAAGGCAGTGCTGAGATACCTTTTTTTGAATTAGAAATTGTGCAAGAAGTAATCACTTCCTTAATAGTGCAGTATTTCAAAAATGCCTGATCTGTGAGTCTCCATTTTTGTATATCATGGGAGTTGCCTAGACATAGTAGGGACCACTGTTGAGCTAGCCATGCCTAGTTAAAACACTGGTGTAGAATAAACCCAAACCAATTTCATATCCCATAGGCACTTCAAAGTCAGGACCTGAGTAACTATAAAACATTGGGTTCACCAACTTGTTGTAGTTGAGGGAATCTCTGTAAGTAATTCAGTAGGCAGCAGCCCAGCATACTTAATGGGTTCGAAGAATTAAAATCCATCCTTGAGCGTGCACTGGATCGTGGCTATTTAAAATGTTACAGTGCTGGAATGTGTTGTGCCTTAGCATGAAAGTGTAATCAGCAGGAGTAAACTACACTGATTAAGCATAATTCAAATGGATCATTTGAGATCTCATGTTCTGTGATGAAACTTTTTTTGTTTTTCTCATTAAAACAAAAGTTTTGGGGGTTTTCGCACATGCAATTGCACTCCTGTGATCAAGTTTTATACTAAGGGAGTTCATTCTGTGGAAGGACTGCAGTGATTCTTAAAAGAAATATGAAAGAACCTGTAGACTCTCTCCATTTTATATTGAGGTTTTCCCATTTTTGCACTGAATCGTGAGCATGATATTACATACCCATTTTTGCTGCTGCAGCTTTACCTCTGCCCTGTTTTATGGGGAATCTAGATCACTGACACCCAAATTTCTTACTCAGATTCTAAATATTTGTCAGCAGCTGCATGTGAATTTACTCAATTACAGACAAATACATCAACTTCACCCATTTAAGCTGTGTGGAAAATGAGAAGGAAACTTGGTTGGGATATTCTTTTGGGCTCCTTTGATATGGTTACATATGGTTGTCATCCCATTGATTTCCCACTGTATTAATATTTGCACATTAGCTTATGCACGTATCTTCAAATGGCTACATTTAAAAGAGACTCTAACAGACTTATTTTTCTTTCTTCCTGGTATCTTCTGTGTTACCTTTCTCATTTTACTGTCTATACATGTTTTGTTGTAAATACATCAGATACGCAGTCACCTTGGTTCCTGCTAGCCTGCTCTCTTTGGCTTACAAGCATTACGAGCTACACGCTAGGTCTTGAGCAAAAAGCTACTGAAATATACTGAGTACAAAAATATCCAAATTGTGTAAAATCCACTGCATGCTACTAACATCCTTAGATAGAGCATATTTATGTGACCTTGGTATGTATGCCCACTGTAAAATGTTCGTATTCAAGTTACAGTTTATGCTGGCAGTCAGATGTTAAACATTTCTTAATCATGTCTAGGACATGTTTTAAAAGAAAAGCTTCATATAGGTAAATACGTTTGGGGGAAAAATAATCTAATGCAACAGTCTGTTACAGTGTCTCTTGAACTAAACTGCCATATCTTTTATCAGGTAAGAGATTTTTCAGGAGACTTGTCAGAGTTGATTCTTTACTTAATACTGCTAATACCAGGACCTGCTCTGAGAGGGAAGGATTATTTATTTTAGAATTGCTGCATACCAGAAAGTAGAGAAAAAAGCACTGATACCATTTTTTATAAAAAAAACCCAAAAAACAAACCAACAACAAACATGGCCTAAACTGAGAAGGGTTTGGATTAAGCGACTCATAGATGAGCATGAGAGACAAAAAAAAACCCCAAACAACTGACTGACCTAGTTTGTAGGCCAGAACATTTCATAGTGTATTCCCAGCTGCCTTTTTTCACAAAATGCAGCCTGAGAAAAGACGATGGACTAACCACAACAGGATGCATGCCTGTGTGTTGAACCATGGTGAGGTGGTCTGGGTGAGCTCAGGTACACCATAGCTTACTCAGAGGCCCCCATAGTAGTGCCCTGGCAGTGACTTAGAGGATACTATGAGAGCTGCCTTTGCTGTTGTAGCAGAATTTACCCTTTCTGTAGGTTTTATCTGCACTCAGTACTAACTAAAAGCCATTCTGGACTCTGCTGAATTAAAGGGTGGTGTTGATACAAATATAAGTGTAAATCAGACATGAGCATGCTAGCATTTGAAATCAGAAATGGATTTCTTTAGCAAGAGAGCAGTGATATTCTGGAGCTTCTGCTCAGCACAAGGGGAGCAATCCCTCTATGTCCACGAGGAACCTCAGCTTGTCAATGAAAAGGGGTACAAATTGCAGTGGGAGTGGTAGCATCAGGGAATGCAGTAGTCCTAACTCATTTTCTCAGCAGCACTGTGAGTTTCTCACCCAGATGAATTCATGTTTGCATTTATTTGTTTTTGTGTCAGGTAGGTGTCCACTCATCCATTCATTACTGCACGTTTATGTTCTTAGTCCTCCTAGTCGGGCTGCCTTCTTGCTCCTTCCTACACAAAACCCGAGTTTCATACCTGGTTCATGCTTCCTTAATAAATACTGCCCTAGTCCTTCCTCAGCTTTATGTTATTCCAGATAAAACAGCCATCCAGCGGTTTGGGAGTCAGTAATGGTGCGAGTTCTCTTTTGCAGCTGGGGTTCCTCTAATGCGGCTCATAAAACTTGCCCAGTGGGATGGAGTGGTGGATGTTTTAGCAATAAATGCTTTAACCAGCACTCCTGCGGTTTCTAGGAGCGCCCCCATCCACTTTGCAGTAGTAATGTTCAAGGGACCTGACATCTGTGGTACAGCTCCTACTTGGTCTGAGGTTAAGTCAGCTGTTGATTGATTTTTGCCCTGTTCATGCACATCCACGTAAGTTTTGGGGACTACTTTGAGAACAGCCAGAGCCACCTGAGCCACGGGAAATTTATTTCCAACTCCTTTTGCAGAGCAGTACACAGAGAGAACAGAGGTGTGCCTTCTGGGAAATCCAGCAGGCACAAATCAAAAGGTCCTAGGGACCAACATCATTGTCTCTAAACTCTGCACTGCGAGGTGGAACATGCTCTGCTGTTCTACAGTGCCTTTTTCAAAGACTGAATCATCCTCTGGCGAGCGAAATGGTCTGTTTCACAAATTGCTTCTCTTTCAGTACTCCCTTCACAGCTGCTCCACCTTCTTTCAACTGCCAGTGTGCAATTCATCACGCTGTCTGGTCTCACATCTTAAGTGCTAAATGCAAGCTCTGCAGCAGAGGCACACGGATCGGCTCACACCCACCAGTCCTGTTCCCCTTGCTCAGCACTGTTTCCTGTCCTATTCCTTCACTGATTTCGTATTTCAGTTCCACATTTTCTATCTATAAAGCACCAGTTGTCATTCCAAGTTCTGCAATTCCTCCTAAAGCCCATTATGCAGAAACTTGAATATTGGCTTTAA